TCTGCTAAGATGTGCTATAACTGATAGTAAGAGAATATGTATAGAGCAGAAAAAGGCTTAATTGGATTAATTTACAAAGCTTGTAAAAATGTAAGGAGTTCAAAGCCTGTGTTATTTGTTGTGTTATTTATCTGTAAGTACTTTGCAGAAAATATTTGAATCTGTTAATATCATGTGTGTTGTTGAATCAGTACTGCCAACTGTGTGTCATTCACCGTCATCAGCTGCTTGAGTTTTTGTTAGAAATAGAGGCTGAATATCCTGACTGGCATGCCAATGGTAGTGTTTTAATTGTTTGAGCTAAAGGCTGAGACTGAAACTTTTCTGAACGAAGAGGGACTTCCCTCAACCATTATTAATCAAATACTGATTAGCTTTGGAAATTAGCTTTTTCTGCAGACTTGATAATGTTTAAAAATGATTTTAACAACAACAACAAAAATACCAGGCAAAATAGTACTTATGTGAAACTTGGATTGCAGTGAAGTCATTTCAGTGGCAACCAGTGTTTGAATCCCAGATAATGTCAAGCTAACTCTGTGTACTTCTTATGCTGTCAAAAAAGTTATATCTTCATTCCCACATGAATTTACAAGGACATATTTTCCATCTTCAAACTCTGGTTCCAGCAGCATCTTTCAGACATTGATGCAAATACAAAGAACGTTTCCATATATCAAAACTCATTTAATTATGTAGTGGAGAAACTTCTACGTTAGGTTACCTTCAGTTGGAAGTGATTAATCTGCGATGTAATAACATACTGAAGAGCAAATATCAAAAGAAGAATCTAATAGAATTATATAACTGCCTTCTGAGTAATGAATATGCTCTATTAAAATTATGTTTGTGTGGGTTGATATCAATGTTTGGCAGTACCTATTTCTGTTAAGACATTTTCAAAGATAAATACATAAAATCTCATTACAGATCAGCATTAATAGATGAGTACTTGTAATAGATTTTCATGATATGGAAGCCCCAATTAAGTGAGGTATTATTCCCTCAAAAATAATTCTAGTCTTTTCTTTAGTAGACTTATATTATAAAATATTTTATTCAGTTGTTATTGTATCTTGAATTTTGTCAGAAGTTTGTAGAAATTTTTTCTCTTGTTACATAACTGTCTACATGATTTTTTTCCTATTTGCCTGTGAAGACTAAAATACTTATGATTATACCTTTTACAGAAAAAAGTTGCAGATCCCTGTTCTACAGCAGGGCTTTTCAAATGTGAGTTTCATTTGTAGTAATTACCTGAGGATCTTATTAAGATGCAGAATCTGATTTGGTACGTCTGTGGAGGGATCCATGGTTTTGCATTTATTATAAGCATCCTAATTGATACAGTTGCTGCTGGACCCTGGGCTACATTTTGAGTAGTAAGGTTCTACTTACTATTCAAGATTAACATTTGTTAAGCATCTGTTATGTGCCAGAAATTATACCATGGGCTCTTGCATACATTGCCTCGCCTCTTTAAAATGTCTTAAAAATTTGTTAGAAGGTATTAAGGATTAAGGTATCCTTGTTGGTGTCTCTAGTAAGAGTTTTTGTTTAGAAACTCGTTTGTTGTTTGGTACATAGCTTCCTCTAAGACTTCTTGGAGGAGGGTTGGGGTCCTAGAAAAAGGTATATGTCTGAGAAAAACAATGAGAAATAAAAGAACACAATATTATTAGCTGGTTCGGGTCAAAGTAGGACCTGGTGTCCTTATTTTCCCTGCAGAATTCAAATGTGGCATTTAGCAGTTAACCAAGCCGAAGAGTGGGCATAGTATATATAGCACATATATGCTTTACAAATATTTTCTCCCATCTCTTGTATTTTCATTTTATAACCATGTCTTTTGAACTAGCAAAATTTTAAACTTTTGATGAAGTCCAATTTATTGATTTTTAAAATTTTTTTAAATTATTTTTTTAATTGTAAAATGTACATAAGAGAAAATTTACCATTTTAATCATTTTTAAGGGTATAGTTTAGTGACATTAAGTACATTCACATTGTTGTGCTGCCATGGCCACTATTCACCTCTAAAACTAAGTCTTTCCCAACTGAAATGCTGTACCCATTAAACAGGGATTCCCCTTTCTACCACCACCCCACCCCATTCTCCAGCAGCCACCTTTTGTGACTGGCTTACTTTACTTAGCATCTTCAAGCTTTTCCATGTTGTAGCATGCACTGGAATTTTGTTCATTTTTAAGGGGGAACAATATTCCGTTGTGTGTATATACCACATTTTATCCATGACCACTTGGATTGCTTCCACCTTTTGGCTATTGTGAATAATGCTGCTATGAACATGTTTGTACAAATATCTGAGTTTCTGCTTTCATTTCTATTGGTTATATATTGAGAAGTGGAATTGCTGGATCATGTGGTAATTTCGTGTTTCATTTCTTTAGGAACCTCCATACTGTTTTCCACAGCAGTGGCACCATTTTACATTCCCACCACCAATGCACAAGGGTTCCAGTTTCTCCATCCTCACTAGCACTTATTTTTGTTTTTTTTTGATAACAGTCTGATGGGTGTGAAGTGGTATTTCATTGTTTTGATTAGCATTTCCTTAGTCCATGTTGTTGAGCATCTTCTCATGTGCTTATTAGCCATTTCTGTGTCTTCTTTGGGGCAATTTCTATTCAAGTCTTTTGCTCATTTTTAAAGTGGGATATTGTTTTGTTGTTGAGTTGTAGTTCTTTATATATTCCAGGTATCAATCTTTTCAGATATATGATTTTCTGATATTTTCTTTTTCCATTCTGTGGGTTGTCATTTTACTCTGTTGATTGTGATGAAGTTTTTAATTTTGATGACGTTCAACTTAACAGTTTTTCTTTTGTTGCCTGTGCTTTTGGTGTCATATCCAAGAAATCATTGCCAAATTCATTGTCATGAAGCTTTCTCCCAATGTTTTCTTCTAAGAGTTATTGAATCTTAGGTCTTACATTCAGATATTTGATCCATTCTGAGTTAATTTTTGTATATGGTATAAAGTAAGGGTCCAACTTAATTTTTTTGCATGTGGATATCCAATTTTCCCACCACCATTTGTTGAAAAAACTGATCTTTCCCCGTTGAATGTTCTTGGTTTTCTTGTCAAAAATCATTTCATGTAAGGGTTTATTTTCTGGGCTATTTTATCCCATTGATTTATAGATTTGTCTATCTGTATGCCAGTATCATATACTTATTTTTAAAATGTGATTTGTTGTTTTCAAAAAAAATCCTGTGCCAGTGAAGAATTGATAGTTTTTATTAAAGCAATACCTGGAATTTTATGAAGGAGATTTAAGTTCCAGTGCCCATCTTAAGACATGGCAGACCTGGCATGTAAGAGGTGTTTGATTTGAGAACAGTTAAGTTTGAAGCCATAGTCAGTCTGGAAAGAGAATGGAAGTATTGGCTATTGGCCATGGATTGACTCTTGGGGGATATTCATAGTTAAAAGAGAACAAGGGGAGAAACAAAAGGTATGGTTGAATTGTGAGAACTAGAATTGTATATTTTTGTTTCATTTTTCCCCCAATAAAAGAATAGTACAGAGTTTCTGATATAATAGCAAGATCAGGAAAAAAAAAATTGGACACATTGGTGATACTAAGGATGATGTGGTTATAAATTACCAGTTTATAGAAAGAATTAAATGATAGTATTAATAGCATAACATTTAAGCTAAGGTGGATTTTTTTTAAAAGACATAAATGAGGGCAGAGAGGCAAGGAGGGAGAAGGTGCCAGAGAGATGGGGTACATGTCAATGAAAGAATTCTTAGATATCAAGAAGGAATGGCATAAAAAGCAAGAGTTAGAGGCTTTAGCTTTTTGGAGGGAGATTCTTTCTGAGATGGAAGAAGCAGGGGACGGGGAAAGGTATATTCAGGTACAGGGATGCAAATAAATGTGGATGGGTGGTCACTACCATCCAGTCCTCTATGCAGAGAGCATGAAAGGTAAGAAAGGGAACTTTAAAAGATAAGATCTATAGGAATAATCGTTAACTTTTAGGAAAAGAATGTTAAGGTGTGTACAAGGGGGCTAATATAGTTTGAAAATGTTCTCCAAATCATTTTGGATTCTGATAATATCTTCCTTGCTGCCTTTGAGCGTCACTCCTCATTTTTGTCACTTTTAGGATTTTTTCAGTAGAGAATTAGCAGACATAGATAAAATAATTTTTAAGAATTTAATTGAACCTCAGTTAGAATTTGTGGTGCTTTAGTCTACATAGTAACAATTATATTAGGGTGCTAAATTTTTCCCTCTTCATTCTTCAGGTGATTGTTTAATAGTAGGTGTTACTTTAGCAATCCGTTTGATAAACGTGTGTGTTCTGTCCACCTGATAGAAACTTAAAACTAAAACTATCCACTGTACAAAAAATCTCCAAGGATGTGACAATTATAAAACAATTCTTCCCAGTTTAAAATGTAGTCAGTCATTAGGTGTACATAAACAAAATAATTAATGTGGTAATGCTATTTAATATAAAAATTCTATATAAGTGTAGAGTCGGGAGATTTACTCTATGAGAGAGAGTATTTTTCAAGCTCTCGGCCCATGGTCCATTGATAGCATATGAAGTCTATTTAACAGCTTTTAACCAGTGTTTTGTTTTTTTTTTAATGGACTAGAATAGACCAGAAAATAGATATTATAAAGTATTCTTTTTGCTGCTGCAGTGTAGTAATGTTAAGTATTCTGTGAAACTTTTAAATATATGTATGTATATATCTGTGTACTGAATTGGTTGGAAAATACGTTTCTTTCTGTGAGTTGCAGTCAGAGTGTTGGAAATCCATTGTAGGATATTTTGATAAATGTGTGGAGATATTCTAAAAATTAAGTGTCTTAATTTTATCTGAGTGTACCATTCATTCATAAATTTTTATTGACATCTCAACTAACCACATTTATAGTCTTTGTTATATATAAATATGCACACACACACACATATATATATATATATATATATAATTTTTTTTTCCTTCATAGGTGCAATGGATGAGCTTCATAGTCTGGATCCAAGAAGGCAAGAGTTATTGGAAGCTAGATTTACTGGAGTTGCAAGTGGGAGCACTGGGAGTACTGGCAGTTGCAGTGTTGGAGCTAAAGTAAGCAAAATTTTAGTCTTTGACAATCTTTCTTTGTATTAAATGGTCTAAAATATATTTTGTAAAAGATCCCTGCATATCTGCTTAATAACAAATTATTATTACAACTTTGTAATGTGTAGAAAAAGTAAAATCAGTGTTTATAAACCTGACTTCTAGTATAGAATACTGTGTTTCAGGGGTAATTATGTTATAGTACAACATATTTCAGGGATAAAAAGGAGTTTGGTAGATTCTACTGCCTATCTGTCATTATATAATTTTTTGTCCTTCCTGTCCTTATTACCCATATTCCTATCTGTACATCTAATCCACTACTTCTAACTGCTACATAAAACTTAATGGTGTATCTGTTAAGCCTTCCAGTGATCTACACAGGTTGTCTTCAGCACCTCACTACTTCATGCTGCAATCAGTATTCTTGTACTTGTTCTCCTATGGACCTTTGTGAGCATTTATTTAATATGTATTCCCAAGAGCATAATTGCTACGTCACAGGATATGTGTACACTTAAACTGAATAAATAGTGCACAATTGCTATTCAGAACAGTTGTACTAATCTGCACATTCAGCAGAGTGCATGAGTATTTTTGTATCCTCATGTCCCAGAAACACTTGGCAGCATCCACATTTCTCATTTTTGATAGTCTAATGAGTATGAAATATCTCATTGTTTCACTTGTACCATCAGTTATTTTGAGCATTTCTTCATATGCTTGTTAGCTTTTTGGGAGTCTCTTCGAAATAATTCTAATCCTTTGTTTTTCTATTAGTATTATTTCTTTTTTAAACTAATTTTCCCATGCTCCCAGTCTTATTGATTTCATTTATTGCAAGTAACTCCTACCATTTTGTCATACTTTTATTAACTTTGTTCATGGTATCCATCACTGAGCAGGAGTTATACGAGTACATTATATATTGAGCTCTTTAAATTTGTTGTAATCAAACTCACCAATTTTTTTTGCCTTACGCTTCTGAAGTTTTGAGGAACTCATGGTATACTAACAAAAATAAGCATCACCATTAACCATCTGGGTCAAATAGACTCTTTTTCTATTTTTATACTTGCAATTATTTTATTACTAATTTATACAAATAGGAAAACAACTTTATTAGAAGTTTTAATATGAATTATATAATACACCTCTTGGTATCAAGTAAATTTTGGTTTACAAACATCATAAAAGATGAAAGAATACTGTGATGTGTCCTTTGAGCATAATGAGATTGTCCAAGTTCTTGTTGCAGAATATAATGTAATGAGGTCCTTCAGTTGAATGATTGATGAAAATACTGTTTCCTTTTTTCCTTAGAAACATATTGTTCAATTAAATGATTCTTTGAATGAATTTGAGAAAATTCATTTAGGATTATGTTATCTGATGACTGACATTTCACTTACATGGTCAGTGTCACTATCATCAGTTTTAAAATAGTCTAGGCATGCTGTTTTCTATCTCCTTGTATTTATTTTCTGATTTGTCTAATAATCATAAGATGACTTCCCTCTGTCATTTTCTTCTCTTGGCCATCGTGGGTTGAAAATGAAAATTTCTGAATTCTCAGGTGGAGTCAGGGAAAGCTAAGATTAGACTATAAAGATGATATCTCTTGTCTTTTATATATTCTTGAAAGATGATGCATTACTTGAGAGATGATTCAAGGCAAGAAGAAAACTGAAAGGTGGTGATTTATTTCACTGTTTCCTCATCCTTTTAGATCATTAAATCTGTATTTTTCTTTTGCTGCCATAACAAATTACCACAGACTTAGGTGTTTAAAACAATATAAATTTGTTATCTTACAGTTTTGTATGTCAGAAGTCTGACACTGGTTTCATGGGATAAAATCAAGGTGCTTGCTGGGCTGTAATCCTTTCTGAAGGCTCTAGGGGAGGATGTGCTTCCTTGCCTTTTTCAGTTTCTAGAAGCTACCACATTCCTTGGCTTGGTGGTTCCTTCATTTTCAAAGCTAGCAACATCTCATCTCCTAGACCCTTCCTCCCAAGTCTTATCTCCCTCTGACGTTGTCCTGGAAAGATTGAGTTTCTACTTTTAAGTACTCATGTGATTAGATTGTGGTAACCGTGGATCTGTTTTCTATACTTTTAGTTTAGTTTTTTAAGAATGCTATCTAAATAGAATACATATTATAATGTGTAGTCTTTTGAGTCTGGCTTGTTTTAACTTAGTATAATGTATTCATTTGAGATTGATCCATGTTGTTGGATTTTACCAATGGTTTGATTCTTTTTATTGCTAAAATGGTATTCCATTGTACGAATATACAATACTTCTTTTTAGTGCATTTTCTACATGAGGAACATTTGCATTATTTCCAATGTTTTAATAATTAGGAATAAAACTACTGTAAACATTTGTGTATTCCTTTCTTTTAGATTCAAAAATTGCTTACATGGTATAAATACCACCACCCAAAAATATAGAACATTTCAATCCCTCAAAAAAGTTTTCTCCTGCCCTTTCTGGTCAGTTCCCACTTTTCAAACCCTATTCCACAACCATAATCTAATTTCTCTTACTATATATTAATTTTGCCTGTGTTTAGATTCCATATACAGTAAATTCAATCATATAATATATTCTTTTGTATCTGCTTTCCTTCATTTAACATAATATTTTTTAAATTATTCAATGTTGTTGCTGTCTCAGTAGTTCATTCCTTTTGTTGCTGAATAGTAATCTGTTGTATTGTTATACCAGGATTTGTTACCCATTTGTAGAGTGATACTTGGATGTTTTTAGTTTTGCTTGTTGTGAATAAGATTGCTGTAAACATTTTTGTACAAATATTTTGGTGGACATTTATTTTCATTTCTCTTGGGAAAATACTTAGGGGAGTAGTATACATGTATGTCTAATTTGATTAGAAATTACCAGATTTCCAAAGTACTTGTACCAGCCTCTACTCCAACCAGCAGTGTATAAGAATTTTTTTTTTCTTTTGAGACAACATCTTGCTCTGTTGCCCATAGTAGACTGCCGTGGTGTCACCATAGCTCATTGCAGCCTTAAACTCCTGGGGTCAAGCAATCCTCCTGCCTCAGCCTCCCAAGTAGCTGGGACTAAAGTTGCACGCCACCACACCTGGATAATTTTTTAAAATAAAATTTTTGTAGAGATGGGATTTCACTGTGTTGCCCAGTCTGGTTTTGATCTTTTTGCTTCAAGTAACCCTCTTGCCTCAGCCTCTCAAAGTGTTGGGATGACAGGTGTGAACCACTGTGCCTAGCTGTGTATAAGAATTTTAATTTTTCCACATCCTTGCCAATATTCAGTCTTGTGATTCTTTTTCATTTTGGTCATTTTAGTGGATGTGAAGTAGTATCAGTCCATTTATTTTAACGTCTCTTGTTTCGTAATTAATGCTGTCCATCTAAGAACCGCTTTAGCTGTGTTCCACAAGTGTTGATAGGTGCTATTTTTATTATGCTGATGTATATATTTCATAAATTACCCTTATCTTCTTTTTTAACACAAGAGCTATTAATATGGGATATTCTGAGCTATTCTTCTGTTATGGATTTCCAGTTTATTGCATTATAGATGGAAAATATAATTTATATGATGTAATCTCTGGATATGCCCTATTTTATAAACATTTCATATCTAATAGCTCTTAATTTTATTTGTTCACATCTTAGATAGCTCCTTGTATTGTGAACTTGATCTTTTTGTAAGAGAGATGTATTAAAATCTTTATCTGTGATTGTTGTTTTATGTATTTCTGTTTGCTTTTTATCGGTTTTTGCTTGATATATTTTGAGGCTATATTTTTAGATGCATGTATCTTCTTGTTCTGTTCTTTTTATGACTATATAATTATTGTTTCCTTTAGCTTTCTTTTGATTCATATTTGTCTGAGACATATGTTTTTCTATTCTTTTATTTTTATTTTTACTTTTTGTTTTAGGTGTGCTTTTGTAGACAACATGTGCCACTTTTTTTTTTATATAGGATATGAGCATTTTATCTCTTAAATGGTGAGATTTGTTCATTGTATTTATTATGTTATTTTTCTGACTTGGTTCTGCACCGTGCTTGGCCCAACTTGTCACTTTTGAGATCTTTTATCAGTCACTGTTTTCAGACATATAAGATATTTCTGGCTCACTTTGTACTTTTTCTGTAATAAATGTGAGCATATATTCGACAAGGATTTCTGCTTCATTTTAATGAAGAATGGTACTTAGGAACCAAGATCTGGGTGCAGGGTTACATAGTAGTCTCTTTGAAGAATGCCAGCTAATACAGCATGAGAAAAGTCACCATTTGATATCCCCCAGATAATTATTAAGGAAAGGACCATAAATGGATGCTAAAGCCATTCAGTAAAATGTTTTGAAAAGCGGTATATGTAAAGGTCTCAATGTTTCACCCCATGGATTACAAAACAGAAGTGTGTCTTTAAAATGGACACCATTGGTCACCACTAAAATAAACAAAATCAGACTTTTTTTTGGCATTGTTACAGAGAATCTGACATGTGAATCCTAATTTGATACACAAATCACCTCTAGTTTTAATGCTTGAAATGTTTGGTTTGAATTGAATCATGAGAAAATACTCCTAGGACATTCTGCTGAACAACTGGCCTGGACTCATCAAAGTATTCAGTGTCATGAAGAACAAGGGAAGGCAAATGGGATTGTTCTAGATTGGATGAGACTTAAAGAGATGTAGCAGCCAAATGTAGTGTGTGAACTTATGAATCCTGATTTGGTTTTAGATTGGGGAAAAAACAGTTATTAAGGGCATTTTTGTGACAGTAGGGGAAATTTGAGTATGACTGTATACTGGATGATGATACTGAATTAATGATTGCATTATTGTTAGTTTTACTCTTTAATCTTTTGAGTAAGTTATTAATATTTTAATTTATCTGTAGACAAAAATAGGGTAGTGTTTGCTAAAAAGAAAGCAAGCACAGTTGACAGAAATACTATACATAGAACTTTTTTTTGTTTTGTTTCTAC